TGCTGTTGCTGTTGTTGCTGCTGCTGTTGACTGTGGCATTGCGCGCATTGCTGACCTTTATGGGCGGCAGATTGGACAGCTTCTGTGGCGCTGATTGCACATTGTTGTTGTTGTTGAGATTGCGAAAATCCGCCACAGTGCTGCGATTGCTGCCCGGCGCCTGGGCGTGAGTGTGGCTGTGGGCGTGGCCATGTGCATGACTGTTGGACTGGACCAGCTTCGTTGGCTCGCTGTTGGGCGTCAGCTTGTCCAGCTTCTCCTCGCTGTTCGACTGGTTCTCCTTGTCGCTATCGACGCTCTGGCTGCCATTGCACATCTTCTTGTGATTCGCCACGGCCACCTGAGCCATGGCCACCACATCATCGTCCTTCACCTTGAGCGAACGACGCGCAAAGACCTTCATCAGCTCCGGCGTGGCATCCTCCTGGCCCGTTGAATTCACATCGCCATTCGCATTGACATTGGCATTAACATTAGCATTGGCGTTGCTATTGCCATTGGCGCTGGCAAAGGATTTCTTGCGCAGCACCACGCCGTTGCCATTGCCATTGCCATTGCTGGCATCTGGCCCACTGGGCGTCACCGGTGTGGTGGGCGTCACTGGGGGCGTGGCCTCGCCAATCAGCTTCTTGCGCTCCGTCAGCTTGCGCTCGGCCTGCGTCTTCTCCTCATTGAGGAACAGCCGCTTGCGCTCCTCCAGCGAGAGCCGATTGCCATTGGCCTTCTCCTGCTCCACAGCCTCCGCCGCTGGCCTCGTCCCGCTGCTCTTTGGTGTGCCGGGCGTCGTGAGCAGCTCGCTGCTGCCACCGCTGCAGCTGCAGCTGCTGCTGCTGCTGACATAGCTGGCGCGCAGGCTGTTGGCGCTGGCGGCCCGCTGCTGCTTGGCCAGCCGCAGCTCGGCAGGAGCTGGCTGGCTAATACTGGGTGACGGCTGGGCGGGGCTGGCGGGACTGTTGGCACTGCTGCTGAGCGGCTTGGTGGGGCGCTCGACTATGTGAATGCTGGATGCGCTCTCGGCGCTCAGGCGTCGCATGGTCAGATCATCGCTGCTCTGGCTGCGCTCAGTGGGCGTGGCTGGCGACAATTTGACATTCTTGGCCAGCACCAGATGATTGGCCTTGCTGTGCAGCTGTGCCGGATCGACGCGATTCAGCTGGATCTTCATAAACTCCGGCTCTGCCTCATCTTTCGAGGCGCGTGGCGCGCCCTTGCCGGGCGTGCTTGGTGGGCTCTTGGTCACTGGGCTAGCGGGCGAGCCAGCGGCACTGCTGGTGGCCGTCGTCTGCTTCAGCTCCAGCACCTTGGGGCGTTGCGGCGACTTCTGCTCCCCAACGGCGCCGGATTTGCGCAGCAGACTGACCATCGGCGACTTGACAATCAGATCGATGTTCTGCTCGATCTCCGAGATGTTCGCCGGGCCCGGACTGGGCACCAGCAGCGTGGAGCTGCGCTGCGGCGAGACCTTGGCCTGCCCACTGGCCAGCTTGCCCGTGGACTCGGCGCGCGCCTGCAGCAGCTTGTTGTCGTTGATCTCAAAGCCCAGCGAGACGCACTTGCCATTCGGGGATATGGGCGACATGGGTGAACGAGGCGACTCCTGCTGCTGCTGCTGCTGCTGCGAGTGCGGCTGCTTGTAGTAGGCGGGCGGCACACGGAAACTGATGGAGAGATCCGGCAGGCTGGGCATATTGCTGTGCATCGCTGTCGACTCGCTGGCCACGTGTCGCTCCTCCTGGTAGTTGCGAAAACTGCGCGATTTCTCGACCGTCTTGCGCTGCTTCTCCTCGTAGTACAGCGGCGAGGGCTCGTCCGTGCTGGTCTCCAGCGAGTTCGAGGAGCTCGAGTGCTGGCCCATCGAGTCGCTGGACCGCGACAGCTTCTGCTGGAACGCGCTCAGCCCGACAATCCGTGGCTTGCGCTCGAAGTGAGTGACGCTGGCCTCCGCCCTGAGCTGTGCCTGCTCCCGCACCAGGGCCGTCGACTGGAAGGTGTCGTTGCCGCGCGAGCTCTTGGACAGCAGATTGGTGACGTCGCTGTCGCTCGTCGGCAGCGGCTTGTCCAGGCCGGCGCCCAGCTCCTTGGGCAGGTAACGCTGGCGCGCTGCTGGCCCCGACTTGGGCTTCACGGCGGTGGGCGGCTGCGGCTGGACGCCGTAGTTGCTGACCAGTGCGTTGAGTCCGTGCTTGCCCTCGTTGTGTATCTCGCGCTTGATGTTCTGGCGCGTCTCCTGTATGTTCTGCTCGTGTGAGGTGGCGCTGCGCGATTTGCTGGGCAGCGGCACGGGCTCACGCGCCGTTGCCTCCAGGCAGGAGGTCGAGATCTGCAGTTTCTTGGCCAGATTCTGGTGGCCGGTGTCCACATCCTCCAGGCCATCGTTGGCACGCGCAATGCTGCGCTTCGAGTTGCGCTGCATGAGCCGACGCAGAAATCCGTGCTCGCTGGACTCCGTTGTGGCTGCAGTCACTTCATCGCCATCCGTTGACGACTCGCCACGCCCATCGAACAGCGCATTGGCCGCCTTAAAGGTGAGCGCACGCAGTCCAAATGTCTGAGAGGACGACGTGGATGTGGATGTGGATGTGGAGGATGTTGTTCGCTCGCTGCTGCCGCTGCTGCTGCTGATATTCGTAATCGTTGAGCTCTTCTGCTCAATTGTCTTGGTGCGCACATTGGAGTGGCTTTTGCTGGTGGTGCTGTTGGTGGTGCTGTTGGCAGTGGCTGTTGTGGTGGCAGACAGCGAGCTGCCCGGAGGTAGAGAGCGCGTCTTTGTTTTCAGATCCATTTCTGCAAAGAGCGAGCATTAGCTACAGTTACTCAATTGGCAATGTTATTTATGCATACCCTTAACAGCCCGCAAGCTGGGATTGGTCGCCTGAGTCAGCTGCAGCTTGATCAGCTCCTCGTTGGCCTCAGGTATTGAGGTCTGTAGAGAAAGTCACATATCATCAATGTTAGGGTTTGCTCATGGTTCAGTTTATCACTGGACTCACCTCTAGCGTCCGTCTGTGCTGCCGCGTGGGCATCTTCTTCATGGGCCGAATGGCCATTTTGTGTTTGGCCGCCGCATGCGAGAGCCGATGCCGCTCCACGCCCACGGCATCCACGTCGTCGTCCGCCGCCTCCTGTCGCTCGCGCAGCACCACCGCACCGAGCAGGCCGTTGTCCCCGTGCTGTCTATGGCCTTGGCTGCTGTCCTCCGCATCGGTGCTGTTGACGCTCAGCAGGCTCAGGGAGGACACCTCGCGCGGCTGATAGCCCGCCGCCTTGCGGCTCTGCCCGGCGGCCGCATGACGCTGCGGCGAGACGGGACTGCGCGGCAGGCCCAGATCCTCGTCCGAGGCATCGGGCCTATTACGACGCTTGCGCAGCACATCTGTTAGCTCCGCCTGCAAAAAGGAAATGTGCGATGTTAACAAGGAATGTGTTTAGGAAAATTTTTAGTTCATATTCATATTTTCTTGTTTATTTAGTTATAATCAAATCCAACTCTTGGCTTTACCCAGCTCTTCCAGCGAAAAACTAGGCGCGCGCGCAGGCAACTGCGACTGAGGCGACTTTCACCTCCTGCTGCTCCTGCTCCGGGCAGGCGCATTTTGAACGGATTCTGCTTAAAGTCAATCATTGCCGACAGCCTCGACACTGGGGCGAGGCGTCAGAAGACTGTTTAGCCCTGGACAAGAGCTCTACTTGAATATTGTGGGTCTTACCGAAAACGAAAGCTGAAATGGATTGCTTTGAATGTTGCGGCTGCCCGCACTTCCGGCTACCATTTTGGATCAATTGAGATGCAGCGAACACGCTCGACAATTAACTAATAAGGGCTATTGTTACGAGGCAGCCACACGCGATCCAACAAACAATTTCACTTTCTTGCCACAGCCCAGAGAGACTCCGAGTGAGATGACGAGAGAGAAAAAGAGACGATGTGAGCACGACCAAGTGCAATGTGCAACTGAAACTGAATTGTGCCGAGGCAGGGCAGGGCAGGCGACGAATAGACAGACAGACAGCTGGCAACAGGCAGCGGCAGAGGCAGCGACAGCGGCAGTGGCAGCGGCAGCATATGCCGCATTAACAGCACCCTCAACAGCAGATGTGGCAATAACAATGCCATTGCATTGCCCTGTGAAATGCAATCGCAACGACTTTTTACCTAGTCGAAAACATAATTGGGCGCTACGCGCAGGCAGCGCTGGGAAATCTGTTTATTGTCATCGGCAATGGCATTTCAAGGGTAAGGCGGCTCGAGTAAACAAATGCAACAGCTTTCCCCTCGCGCTCTGCCACGCTCTGTCTTTTCTTCTCTCGCTCTCTCTTTGTTTAGACTCTTCCTTGTGCTCCAGCTACAGCTTCTTGAACTAAGCAGCGTCGCTCTCTCTCTCTCTCTCACTCTGACACTCCCTCACTTATTTCCAGTCTATATCTCCTTCTCTCTCTCTCTTCATCAATCTCTCCCTATTTAGGCACTTTTTATGCTCCAGCTACAGCTTCAGCTTCTTGAAATAATCAGCATCATCTCTCCCTCTTCCCCTCTCACACAGTTTCCCTCACTTACCCTCTCTCACTCTCTCCTTATCAATTTCACTTCCTTATGCTCCAACTACAGCTCTAGTTTCTGTCACTAATCAACATCACCTCTCTCTCTCTCCCTCACACTCCCTCACTTGCCCTCTCTCTCTCTCTTCATAAATCTCTCCCTATTTAGGCACTTCCTTATGCTCCAACTACAGCTCTAGTTTCGGGCACTAATCAGCATTTCTCTCTCTCTCTCTCTCTCTCTCTCTCTCTCTCACTCTGACACTCCCTCACTTATCTCCAGTCTATATCTCCCTCTCTCTCTTCATCAATCTCCCCATATTTAGAATCTTTTTAATGCTCCAGCTTCAGCTTCTTGATATAATCAGCATCATCTCTCCCTCTCCCTTTTTCTCCCTCACACTCCCTCACTTACCCTCTCTCTCTTTATCCATTTCACTTCCTTATGCTCCAACTACAGCTCTAGTTTATGTCACTAATCAGCATCGCCCTCTCTCGCTCTCTCCCTCACACTTTCTCACTTACCCTCTCTCTCTCTTCATCAATCTCTCCCTATTTAGGCATTTCCTTATGCTCCAACTACAGCTCCTGTTCCAGCCACTAATCAGCATATATCTTCCTCTCTCTCTCACACACTCCCCCTCTTACCCTCTCCCTCAGCCGCTTAACCTCTCTCTATTTTTAGAGCTCCGTTAGACACTTTGTTGACTCCACAGCTTCAACTTCTTGAACTAATCATCATGTATATCTCTCTCACACTCGCTCCCTGCCTTAACTCCCTCTATTTATATAGCTTCGTTAGACACTTCCTAGACTCCACAGCTCCAGCCTCTTGAATTAATCAGCATCTCTGGAGCATGACGCGTGGGGAGCGCGCTGCACTTAAAGGCTGCATAATTCCTGCCTATACATAGTCTATTTTCGTCCATGTTTCTAAGGATTTTCATGCCAAAGAAGTACGCTTAGGTTAAAGACCTCGTACCACACATTATATACAGCCAAAAATCTGAAGGCGAGTTCAATACACTCGATACTGAATCGCATTCAACACTTGAGCAGAAATGTTTCCTATGCCGAGTTTCATAATACCTGCTCGAGCAGGTAGCACGTCCTACATGGAGGAAATCCACGGCTATTCTCAACATCGCAAAGGTAACTGCGGCGGCTACCTGAATGGTCGCTGGCTCGTCACATTTCATGATTTATTGGCACACTTTGCCGAGTGGGCCAACTGGTGGCCAGTGGCCAGTGGCTTGGCTTGGCTTAACATGCAACTAGCTGGGCTAACCGCCGCCTGCCGCAGATTACAACAGCTCAACAGCCGCCAGCTGTGTGCCACGAGCGGGCAGCAGGTGTAAGACAACAAAATATTAGAGGTAGAGCTAAATAATTTACTGACTCATTGCGATTTAGCAAGCTTTTTACCTATATATAAAGGGAAAAGCAAAGAGGGAGAGCCACACAGAAGAACTTAGAGTAAGTTTAGCTGTAGATTGCTGCACTAGGAGATACCCTGTAGTCTGTGAAGATCGCTTATTTTATACATATGTACACGATATATATCGCATTTTTAAGGGCGGTACTCAAAAACAATGCGTTTATTATAAG